CAGCTCTTGTGCCAGCAGAGCTCTCACCCCCATTATCTCCCCATGAACAGCAGACCAGTGGTTTCCAATTCTGTGCCATTATGCCTAAAGATTATAGAGGCTTTCATTTCAACCATACACCCCACTAGGTCATTTCCCTGTTCGCTTGTTCATTTTATCAGTGAAATCAGCTGCTGCAGTGTTTTTATGAAATGAAAATTCTGCATTCTCCTGGGTCTTAATGGCGCATTATTTGAGGTTTAATACAGTTCAGTACCAGATCATCAGCGACAAAAGTCTTCCCATATGGGGTCTCCAGGATTAAACCTGATCAAACCATGTGTGTGTGTGTGTGTGTGTGTGTGTGTGTGTGTGTGCTGACATCTACCAGCCTTTCCTCATATTTTCAATCCACCGAATCAGTCTATCATGTCTAATCTATGCTATATTTGTTGTAACGTGTGCATGTAGGTCAGAGATTAAACTGTGTGTATAACAGCGAGTAAGAGAGAGGAAGCAAACACTGGAGAGCTCTACTACACTCTCTCATTTGTGTATTTAATCACTTAGACATAATGACTATTGTGACTGGCTGAGGATCTCATTTGTAAATCCATAGGTGTTTGTGTGTGTGTGTGTGTGTGTGTGCGCGCGCGCGCTTCTTTACTTCATCCCATGTCTTTATCACCAATTCAATTCTAAACATAACTTCTGTCTTGTTTTATACCACAGTGTAAAAGTCTGTGTTTGTACAGTATGTGTGCATCATGGCAGAGGGCTCTCCAAGTTCCCCACCCTTCTGTTTATTACCAAGTCACAACTCATCCATCACAGCTATTCATTTGTCTTCCATTGGCATGTCTGCTCATGCTCCCTCAGGTTAACAGCATTGGCGTTTAACTGAGAGATGCAAAGCACGTTTCCACTTACACAGCGTTACAATATTCAGCATTCAGTCCACGTACAATGCTCCCCCGATGCTGCTAATTCTAATTCACGGCCGCACTGGCAACAGCAGCCACCCCTCATGCCACCTAAACCCTTTCTTTCCTCACCCACTTTTTTCTCTATTACCCCTCTTCCATCCTTCCTCCCGTTCTTATGTCAATCACCATAAAAATGAACCGACACAGATTTAAAATTCACTTTTGCTGTCTGTTCCTATTGAACCTGACCCAGTTCTTCTTTCAATGAGACTTAGAATATGCTATAATTGTCTTGTCCTTTGTTATTTAAAGTAAAAACCTATTACCATTCACACCTTTAAAAAGCACTGAGTGTTTTGCGTGTAATGTCTAGAAACCCAAATGGCAGAAATTATGCCATTGTAGGTTTCTGCGAACCATGGACTCATTGCATTTGTACGTTATCATGTAGCGGATACATTGAAACTTTACATTTCAACAACACTCTGGTTAAAATGTTAGGTTCAGACACAAACACAGCTTGGTTATGGTTTGGAAAATATCATGTTTTGTCTTAAACTTGGCTTAAAATACCCGCTTTTGTGGCATAATCCCCCCTGGAGTTAGATATTGATTTTCTTGGCAGTACACCCGCTGGAAAAATTGGTAAGGTTTGCTAAAAAAAACAGCCACATTCAGGAGCTAAAGAGCCACTGGACACACAGCAATGACTCGCTCATAAACAACCAGTTTTGTTGTATTTGGTCTCCAACCGCAGTCTGCAGTGGTCTGAAGCTTGGCATGTGTCTCACCAAGGTGTCACGCCATCCACCATCCTCTCTACTTGCAGATGTCAGGTCATATATTACATCACTTTAGAAATGCTGATTTGATAATGCAGATTTTTTTCTAGCAGCTGGGCCGTGTTTTTAGTAACTTTCATGTGCTGCCTGAGTGACTCCACACACACCACATTTCATTTGGAAATATAAAAAAGAAAGTACCTACACATTTGCAGTGGGATCAGGTTGCTGACTTTCCTTTGCTACTTTCCTCAACACTCTCTGCTGAGAAGAGACTCCATTGCTCTTCACATTTAGTTCAGACACAGTGGCACTCCTTTACACTTTTCCTCTCAGTATTTTCTTTTCTCATCAGAAAGCACCTTATGTATTAGCTTCCCTTCACACACCCTGAGCACGTATTTCAGGTTTCAGTACAGCAAACTCCGTGTGATCTCTCCCTCAATTATTTTTTTTGATCGAAAAGAAATACCACAAAGTCTACTGGTTCAACTCTAGTAAGCCACCCTTTGTAACTGGGTTTCACATTGCAACTAATAGTTTTAATAATGGTTAATGAATGACTATCACTAATGCTTATACATGCAGATAAGTTACAAAGCATAAATAAGACTACTTTTAATCACCATGGATGGCATCAAAATAAGGACTTATTTCATATTTTTAATGTTACATGGGCTATGTAGTAGGCTAAGCAATTTTTCCACTCCATGTTTTGGCAATGTAATGGGGGGATCACTGTGAGGTGAGAGTAGATAATCATCAAGGGTTGGGGAAAAATGCATTACACATCAAAATGGCGTAGCATAACGTAGGACGGATGGTGGGGGGCACATATGGAGTAGGTAGTCTGGGGTCCTCCCTTAGTAAACGTTGTCAAGCACTTTATTTCCTATATTCAAGTGATTGTTTTACCTTCAGCAATGTATGGTGGGAATGTCTTTTTTTATGTAACAGTAAACACAAAATTCAGGTGGTAGGTGACAATTTAAAATATAAAATTATAATGGAATATAATGCAGTAAGGCTCTCAGGCACTCTGTATTGCTTTCAAATATTCATTCTGTGGTTGATCTAGTTTTCTCATTTAATGTAATCCCTGCTGAGTCAGGACTCCTGTAAGCATTATTTATTCTCCAGTCCTCCTCTGTTTGACAAAAGTGTTCTGGTTAATTACCTGTTTGGTCGGGCTAAACCGGCTGTTTGGTTCACAAGGCATAACAAGTTCCAAGCTTCAGGTCTGGTGGACCCTGAGGTCCCTGTTATGCAGTGCTGTAAATAGTGCTTGGTGGTAATGTTTTTTATAAAGGAAGCCAAAAGTCCTTTGTTTGGGGAAGTAACATCTTAAAAGAAGTATTTCACTGTTGGAAAGATGGTCTTTTGAGGAAACTGGGCTGTCTTTGTAGTAAAAAGACACAAATACTTTTGAAAATCCTCCTACATGACCAAAGTAAACAGAGAAAAATGTCTGCGGCATTTGTTTTGCTCAAGATGTAGAAAACCTATAACTACCAGAATGCACCGCACCGTGCCAGGCCAATAAATGTTCCCGCTGGTAGGTGATGTAATGCGAGCTGGGCTGTTTGACACAGTGGTGGCCGACTGGCAACAGACATCTTGAATTACAGTTGAATATTAAGCCAAAATATGTATTCTGAAAACATCTGAGGTAAGAAATAGACGGTGTAGTAACAGAGTCTTGATTTGTGTTTAATCAGCACTGCCTAGTTTTAGCGTTTGTTCAGAGTTTGGTCTGAGTTGACAGAGAATGAGAGAGAGAGTCCATGGTGGCAGCATGGGTCACGGGCAGTGCGAAAATGCGGAAGTGCAATCTGTAGTCGAGCAACTGCCAGCTCCCCAGGAAGTGTGGCAGACTTTAAAGCTAATTTTCATAGCGGCCAAATAGTGGAATTACAACTTCCAAGTCCATCACAGAAGACTTTTTCCCACTGACTTACACTGTGAAAGAGACGTCTGTAAATCAGTGGATACATTTTTCTTTTTTTTAGCATCACAAGCCCTATGAAATGTCCAATAACATTTGGAAAGTTTAGAAGCGCCACAATATTTAACCTTTTTCTCTCTATTCAAGTTAGTCGTCTCGGTTGGCGGAAGTCCCTAGTGCGCCTGGTCACTTGCTGTATGGGCCCAGTGATGCAGAAACAATGCCAGTCATTCAGCAGTTGAACGATTATGGCTTCATGCATCACTGAGCAACCTTCATAGGGATGAACAGGGTCCCACCTCCAACGCTGTATCCAGGTCTCTTTGAACATCCATGGCAACAGCCCACAGACAGCTCAAAACCAGCAAATAATGTGAAACGCGCCATCCAGCAGTTTTGTGCTGAGGCATGAGCAGGGAGATCTGGACACTGGTAGGATGGAGAAAAGTTTACTTTAGTCCATTTACACATACTATCCACATTGTTAGCATACAAAGCTGGTTGAATATTAGTGAGTTATCCCTTTAAAATGCACACATGGCACCATTTCATGTCAATGAAACAATAATTTATTTACATTATTTTATAAACCCCTGGACTTTAAGAACTCATATGTGTCATGTTCACAGAGAGAATGGAAAACTTTGAGGTATTTATTTATCTTTAACCATTGTTTTCCCTAGTTTATTTTTATTCTGTTTTATCTAGTTACTTTATTTTTATTCTATGGACATTAAAACATCCTATTTGTTAGTTTGTTCTGTGTTATGTGGTTTGCTTTTTAATATTTTATTGTCTTATTGTTGTAATTTTCTAGTCTTGCAAAACTTTTTGTGTAGTTGTTTGTGTTATCCTGTGTCTGTGTCATTCCAATTCTGCCATGTGAAGAGCTCTGGGCTGCATGTTTGTATGAAGGGTGCTAGATAAATAAAGCTGAGCTGAGTTGAGTGTCAAGAATTTGTTGAAACTAATGATGGGTGGGTGCACATTTTGGAGTCATTTTAGATTCAGTAGGCTATAAGGGGCATTTTTAGGCTTACATGACTTCTTTTTGGACAAAGTACATTCTGCAAATAAAAGCTTCTCCTTTTTTAGTTAATAAACAAATAAAATAAAACCGGTTTTAAGAATTGTGCTTTTAAAAGTGATGGGAGTCAAAATCAATGACCATCAATGTCAAATATCCATTATATTTTAATTCTGCCATGCCATCACTTTAAAATCATATTAAGCATTTTTGATAACATTAGGAAAATGTATTACCACGATAGATAGATAGATAGATAGATAGTATGGGTGTGTCTTTTTGTTCGAACCCCTCGCGCACCCTCTCGTGCACACCGCACAGCCCCTCCCTCCTCTGCCACTCAGTCAGCCTCGTGCGCCTACAGCCGCCTCCAACCGGCAGAAAGCACGCGCTGAAATCTGCAGCTGATAGTCAAACTTTAACCATCTATCAAAAATGTCCCCCAGCAGCAGCTGTCACTGAAAGGCGGCATCAGGCACAGAGGGATGGAGCGCAGGAATTAACCGGACAAAGGAGGAAAGCTGACGGACAGTGTGACGTTCAGGAGCCTCGGCGAGGATTACCACGGTCTCCAACGGTGGGGGGTTTTTTCCCTCTAAAAATAGGCGACTTTGGGTCTGCACGCCCCCACCTAGAGATGTTAACCGAGATGTTAGCTTGTTGAAAAAAATGCTTCAGTCATTGCCACAAGATTGTTAATGTTCCTCAAATCTGCATCTCTCCTCCTAAAAATGTTTGCGGAGCTCCTCGGTGGATTATCTGAACCGATTGTCAGCTGTGTGATGTATAATTGATCACGGAGGACGGAGCTGGACACCGCCCGGACCAGCTTCAAGGCTACCGGACCGGGATTGTATGTCTTTTTGCCTGGTTTGTGAAAAGAAAAAGGCAGTCAGCTTCCAGCTCTGCGTGCTGGCGGATGGAAACTGCGCGCATTGCCGGAATATTTCGGGATTGAGATAGTTCAATTTGTTAAATAGGGCCCTACCTGGAGGGATAGCTGCATGTTTTGGAGAACACACCACCCGTCCATACACTCAGACGGATGCTTGGATAAGTGAAAAGGTTACTTGCACTCAAGGACACCCTCAGTGTTAGTCGGTGTAGTTCTCTTAAAGTCTTTGGGTTTTGAAGCACAAACTGGAGCTGCGCACGGATTTTAAGTGGGATTGAAGGTATTTAGCCCCCCGACATCACTTTTCTGTGCTGCGTCTCGCTTTGGATATCCCTCTGAGGACTGTGCTCCAATGAAAAAGCAAATGTACACAGATGGCACGAGCTCTGACGCCCCTGTTACTTTGAATGCGTTATTGGAATAACGGTAATTGGGATTTGGGAGGCGAATGGGAGGCTAATAGGAGTTATTCAGCAGCCATATGACCCCCTCCATCCACCCACCCTTGTCGTTTGAGGATCTATGTGTACGTGAGTGCGTCTCGTAGTTTTGCTCGGTGAGACCACCGGCACCTGGATTCCCGGTTCGCCCCCTTTTCTTCTCTTCTGCCTGACTGCGCGCACGTCTGTTCCGGTAATTTCGCTCCTGCTGCTGCCGCTGCTTCTGCTGCTGTCCGGTCCAACACACATACACACACACTCCCGTTTATTCAGCCCCAGAAAACTACCAAGAGAGCCTCTCTCTCTCCGCGTGTGGATGGGAAAGGAGTCGCGCAGGAGAGGAGAGCAGGAGTTGGGATAAGCAGCCGAGCCTGATCGCCTTTTTAAAAAAAAGCCGTGCGGGGCTCCTCGTTGTGATTTAACTCATCCATTAGTGGACGGATCGGGAGAGCAAGGAGAAGGGGTTCCAGAGAAAGAGGGACTAGAGGAAAGAAGGTGGAGATCGATGAAGGTAAGGCTGATTGATTGGCTGTTAATAATGCAGGGTGTGTGAGATGGCGGAGGATGCTCGGTGGGACCGAGCTCTGCTATGCAGCTGATTTTTTTTTTCTACCACGGGGATGCCAGGCTCATCGCGGTGCCAACAATAGTTTTATTCTTAGTGCCCAGGAAATGAATCATCGCTGTAATCTGATTAGGCTCTGCCATAACCTCGCTCTGTGTGTGACTGCTCTCTTTTTTTGCGCCTGTGTTGGCACTGTTGGTGGACTCTGCCATTCTCCAAGGCTACAGACAATTTATTTAAAGCTCTCCAAAATCTAGCACAGAAGCGCTCGCGCTGTTGACAGTCTTCTCTCTGGTGGCTCAAACGGTGAAAGGCTAATTGTTATTTTGGCGTCTCACTTCTGTGTTGCGATGCCTCGGCCAGGCTGGCAGCCCCGCCGTGCCTGTACAGGAATGTGTGCGTGCATATCTGTATGTGTGCGTGCGTGTGCGTTGGGCTTGCGCGCGCGTATGGATGCATCCGTTCGCGCGCGCGCGTGTGGGTGGGAGCGCAGTAATAGAACCCATTTTTGGGGGAGCCTTCTCTCTCTCTATCTGTCTCACTCTCTGTTTCTAAAGCTGCCTCATCATGCCGCTCCAGTTGACTGGCGTTACAGCCACATCTATTATGCAGGAGGCTAGGAGATGAGAACACAAGAGGGGAGGAGAGGAGAGTGAGGAGAAGGAGACAAGGCTGAGGGAAAAAGAAAGAGGAATAGAGGTAAGGATCATAGAGTCAGACCAGGGTGAGGTGAGTAAAGATGGTAGAAGTGAGTAGCGGGAGCAGTACATGAGGGTGGAAAGAAGGGTGGGGGGAGGACGAGGAGAGGGGAGGGAAGGACCAGAGAGTGTTAAACAAGGATACAGAAAAAGACAAGGGCAGAAGAGAGGAGATCGCAATGGTGATGAAGTGAGGATAACAGAAAGGAGAGAGTGAGATGAGGAAAGATGGGAGAACGAAGGAGAGGGAGCAGTAAAAATAGGGGAAGGATGGGAGGAGGGTGAGGAGAGTAAAGAGGAAGTGTAGAGTGGCAGTCGGGGTGAATAATGCTGGGAAACATGACAGTAAGATATATGTTTGTAATATGTTAAATCTGAAGCAAAATGTTGTACAATTTCACCCAATATATGCAAATGTAAACTTCCCCTTGTAGACAGAGAGGAGCAAAGTAAGATCTGCTCTTAGAATAATCAGAATTAGTTATCCATTGAGCCGGCGGAGCATCTCTGTGAAAATAAGACTAAACAGTGGTACTTATAAGATGTGTGTGTGTCTGTAAGACAGAACAGTAACAACACAGCAGAGCAGGACACAAGGCAAAAGAAATGGTTCACTAACAGAATCCTATTCAGAGCCAAGGAGTATTTAGGAACCAGTGACAGCTCTATGCTGAGAGAGCGTCTGTTTCCAAAAAAAGATCTGATTAAGCGATCCAAAAAAAAAAAAAAAACTCTCCACACTTAACAAGCTGCTTGTAGTTCATGGATAGATTTGAACAAGTTGACTGGGATTTCCGACTACAGAGAGTTCCTTAGAGGCAGTCTGATTCCCAGGAGCAGTGTAAGAGAAAGTGACCTCAGTATTTCAAGGTCTGAGTAAATGAAGAGAACTGATGTGCTTTTAAAACCATGGAGAGCTCCGACATGGTCACAGTGACACAGTGAGCTGCAGATATTTTCAGAACCATGGAGAGATCTGACACAGTTCAGATCCCTGTGTGAGTCTCATGTTGTCAGCACCGTGGACAGCTCTAACATAATACAACACAGCCACTTGTGGTTTGTGGATAGATTTGACACATTGACTGGAATTCAGGACCACAGAGAGCTCATCCAAAGCATTCTGAGGTTCAGGAACAGTGCAATAGAAACTGACCTTACTGGTGGGGGGTCTGACAAGTTTTCAGCACTTTGGAGAGAGCTGATGTGTGTTCGGACCAGTGGAGAGCCATTTGTTACACAGTGAGCTCCTACATGATCACAGCACCATGGATAGTTCCAACAAAGCTGCTTGTCATTTATGAATAGATCCAAACAAGTTGACTGGTTTCAGGCCCAAGGAGAGTTCATTAGAGGCATTCTGATCCCGTGGACAAGTATATTTGTAACAGACCTTGATGAGGTTTGAGAGATTTCCTCACAGTCCTGAGAGCTCTCGCCAGCTTCTCCAGGATGTTAAGATTTCAACAGTTAATCCAAATACAGCTAGTCTCTGTGTGTGCTGCGCCACCTTGCAATTTTGTCCAGTCATTGCAATTTGACTATTTGAAATGGGTAAAATTTCATTTCATCATAGGGCTGCGCCGAGTGTATTGATTCGCTCAGCCCCTTTTTGACACCCCCCCGCCATGGCACTACTGCTACTGCTGCACCTTGGACAGAGTCCCATACAAAGTGACAGGTCAAACACACTGCTAGTGATACTCAATTGCTTTAATGGGATAAGTGACAAAATCAAGCTGTTTCCATGTGTGGAGTCGGATGTTAGCTGTTGCTGCTGTGTTAACTTGTGCTAACCGAACAGGGAGAGAAGGAGGAGAGCAGCTCACAGCAATAGTCCTTCAGTGCTGTGTCGAATGGTAGCAGCAGCTGTTGCTGTTGCTTTAGATGGTTTTCTACCCGGTTCACACTACAAAACATTTCTGTCCATTCTGACAGTCACTGTGTCAGATTAGGTGATTGTGGAGTCATAAAATCGTGACGTGACAGTCGGCCGACAGTCATGACAAACTACACGAAGGTCCACACCAATCATCCCCGGTCGTCTTTCACAACGTGTGTGATGTCATCGGGTTATTCTTGTCATATTTTTATTAGTTTTACTATTATTACAGTCACTGTGTCTGTTCATGTGTCAGCTGAAATGTTGTTGTATTAAGTGCCACCAGATGGCAGGAGCTACATTTGAAGTACCATACGTAAACATGTAATACACTGAATCCTCCACAGTTCCTGCAAATGTTTCACAATAAAAGCCTTTTTAGAAAATGAAGGGATTCTCTCAACCAAAGTTATAAGTGGCTTTTATTTTTATACAGATACAGGAAGTGTTGCGTTTGAAATGACAGCGTGATGCATTAACTTTATCAAGGCAAACGGGAGCAGATAAAAAGTAAAAATATAGAAATACAGAGGGAATAATAAACAAAGATCTGTCTTTAATGTAGTCTGTTTCAAATGTAGCTGGTAGCCTCTGCAGTTGTGGTGAGTAAAAGCCCCGCCACTATTTTTTAATTTTCTTACTTTATGTCCGTCTGCATTATGAAGAAATAACATTGTTTGCTAGCTTGATGCTAATGACAGTAACTCACCAGGTTGACAAAGTGCCTCTGCTGTTTCACACCACATTTTTTCCCCTTTTACTCTGTGTGGTAACATCCCTAGAGGAAATATCAAATGTAGTTGTCTACGGCAGCAGATCGCTCTGTGTTTCTATTGGTCAAAGTGACGGCTGTGACAGGAGAAGTCGTGAATGACAAAAAGAAAATCAAACATGCTGGACTTTCTGTCGTGAGGCGTCTCAGACGTTGCGTTGGTTGTTGTCTACTATGACACATGACACGAGATGAAACGATGAATTATCGTGTACGACACTCGTTGTTCTCGATCCATGCCGACAACTTACGTCACTGTGAATCTGGCTGATATCATGTAGTGTGAACCAAGCATTAGGACTACAGAGAGCTCCAGTATGGTACCAGTGTGAGTGAGCTCCTGTATGATTTCAGCACCATGGGAAATACTCATGTAGTTGAGGAGCCATGAAGAGCTCTGTCATGCTGAGCTCCTACATGGGTTTAACACCTTTGAGAGTTCTAATTAAACTGCTTGTAGTTCATGGATAGATTCAAACAAGCTGGAATTTGGACTAAGGACTGGTTCTAAGGAATTATGACAATGATCTCAGCACTAAGGGGGCGATCACACAGAGATGAAACACTAGAAGCGCGACGCCAGTAACAATTGTTTTCCTGTGATACGGTGCGTCTGACTGGCGTTCAAACGTCTTTTTGGATGGGCGTTTTTCCGGCGTCTTTTTAGACGCGCGTTTTTGTAGACGCTTCTTTTTAGACGCTTTTTAGACGCGCGTAGACACTGAAAAGTTAAAATATTTTCAACTTTTTGAGAGTCAGATGCCAGTAGCACCAATCAAATCAAATCCTCCTTTCTGTTTTGTTGTGGCAGTTACGGCAGTTTGGTCAGTTACGGCAGTTTTACCGCACTTACGAGCAACAGACAACACAATGCAATCCGAAGATGAGAAATTTATCCTGACAATATTTGATTTTGAAGAATTATACAACACACGCACACCTCAGTACTAGTTTCATGTAAGCTACTGTCTCTACTGTCTTTGAGGGAAACACTAGATTCAAGGGGAGATGAGAGGAGGTGTGTGTGTCGCCTGGTTGTGCACGCACCCCCACTCCACAGGCGCTCATTGCTGGGTTTTTTTTGTCTAGCGTGAATTGAATAAGCGCTTCCAGCGTTTCAAGTGTCTTTGAAGCGTCCGCGTTTCTGCGTCTCATTTCTGTGTGATCGCCCCCTAAGGTCTGACATAAGACCTTCAGAGAGCTCCAACAGACTCACTAATAAAGCTACACAGTTGTGCAGATCAATGACATCCCATACGTGTTGGTTTCAGTTTCCAGTGTTAAGTTTCATATGAGCATTAGAAGTTTCACAGCCACAGACAAGTTTGTACAAAGAGTATAAGCTAAGGCTCTTCTACTTGAATAAGCATTTTCATGCAGCACAGATGGGCACAGTTAGACTGTATTTTTATTTGAAAGACATAATCACCCCAGCTTCAAGGGCAACATTGTTAAGGTGCATAGAAGCTGGACAGATGAAACAAAGCAAGAAATCTTAATTCCATCAGATAGAGTCAGTGGACATGTGTCTTTCCCAACACGAGATGAAATGAGCTCACAGGGCAGCAGGTGGATGTAGTGGGTGATTCTATAG